CCCCACATCTCCCCATACTCTCCCCACATCTCCCCACATCTCCCCACATCTCCCCACATCTCCCCACATCTCCCCACATCTCCCCACACTCTCCCCACATCTCCCCACATCTCCCCACATCTCCCCACATCTCCCCACATCTCCCCACATCTCCCCACACTCTCCCCACATCTCCCCACATCTCCCCACCTCTCCCCACATCTCCCCACATCTCCCCACATCTCCCCACATCTCCCGCCCTCAGGCCGAGAAGGACCACATCGAGGACTTTGCGCCCGAGGTTGCGTGGGTGACAAAGTCGGGGGACGGCGACCTGAACGAGCCGATTGCGATCCGGTGCGGGGAGATGTGGGGAGATGTGGGGAGATATGGGGAGATATGAACGAGCCGATTGCGATCCGGTGTCGCCTCGGGGAGAGGGGTGGGTGCAGGGCCCCGGGGGGAGGGGGGGAGAGGGCGGAGGAGCCGCGCCCCTTCTCGACTAGGCCGACTTCGGAGACCATCATATCTCCCCACATCTCCCCATATCTCCCCCTATCTCCCCCTATCTCAGGCCGACTTCGGAGACCATCATGTACCCCGCCTTCCGCAGCTGGATCCACTCCCACCGCGACCTTCCGATCAAGCTCAACCAGTGGTGCAACGTCGTCCGCTGGGAGTTCAAGCACCCGACGCCCTTTCTGCGCACGCGCGAGTTCCTCTGGCAGGCGAGGCGCCCGGGGCGCGAACACACACTCACACACGCGGGGCCCCGCAGTTCAGCCTCGCACCCTCGGCGGCACGCTTTCGGCTGCATATCTCCCCACATCTCCCCACATCTCCCCACATCTCCCCACATCTCCCCACATCTCCCCGCACCCTCGGCGGCACGCTTTCGGCTGCATTCGACGGGCGGGTCCATTGGCATCCGCTCCAGCCACGGTCACCGCAACCCTCGTGATGAACCCTCGTGAGGAGGCTGCGAGTCTCGGACGTTGCCAGAAGGAGCACGCCCCCGCTCACGCCTCCGCGCCGGCCGCTTCTCTCAGGAGGGGCACACGGCCCACGCCACCAAGGAGGAGGCGGACGTCGAAGTGCTGCAGATCCTCGAGTTCTACGCGGCCGTCTACGAGGAGCTGCTCGCCGTCCCCGTCATCAAGGGCAGGAAGACCGAGAAGGAGAAGTTTGCCGGCGGCGACTACACCACCACCGTCGAGGCCTTCATCCCGGCCGCCGGCCGCGCCATCCAAGGCGCAACCTCGCACGGGCTCGGCCAAAACTTCGGCAAGATGTTCCGGATCGAGTTTGAGGGCGCCGACGGCAAGAAGGCGATCCCGTGGCAAAACTCGTGGGGCCTGACGACTCGGACGCTCGGCGTGATGGTGATGGCGCGCGGCGGAGAAGGGGGGGGGAGGCGTGCCGCGCTGAGAGGACCCGCGAGGACCCGAGGTTGACCCGAGCGCAGGTGCACGGCGACGACAAGGGCCTCGTCCTCCCTCCGCGCGTCGCGCCGCTGCAGGCCGTGATAGTGCCTATCACGATGAAGGACGTGGACGAGGGCGCGCAGCTGAAGACGTGCGGCGAGATCGCGGCGGCGCTGCGGGAGGCGGGCGTGCGCGTGCACGTCGACGACCGCTCAAACTACAACCCAGGCTGGAAGTACTCTTATTGGGCGCGCCCGCCACCCGCCGCCCG